AGTGGTGAGATCTTCAGAGCCTTCTTTCCTCACTCTCTGAGTGTCCCTCCATTCTTGCTTTTACCTCACTGTGTTATCGGCGTCAGGCTGTGTCTGTTACTCCCAGTAGTTGCTGGAGCCTGAGGATTTTGACACATTACCAAATTGACATTACAGTGGTTTTTAAAGTTACACTCCAACCACAGACACATAAAAGCACCTGCTTCCTAACAGCCTTTAGAATGGTGGATTCTTAGTGTTGTTTTTCATTTTGCCAGCCAGGTAGATAGCAAACATGGTATTCCTTTGCTATTTTTATTTTTTATTAAGATTGTGTATGTTTTTTCATAGCCACCCAGGATAGAAGAGGAGTTTTTATTCCTGCATGTCTCTTTTGTTAGAGAGAGAATTTTTTTCTGTAAACCCATCTCCTACCCATCTTAAGCCTCCTGAAAAGGGCATATGGTCACCATGAGTGTCTCAAGATTGTCCCGATTCACTTCCTCCAGGAACTGGATATCAGGATTCTACTGGCAAAGCTGGAGGAAGGCTGAGGGGAGGCAGTCATGGTGTATTTCATGTGCTGAGTGGACTCTGGATTGATCAACCATGCCTTAATTATCATTTAAAATAGGGCAAAGATTCTGTGTTTTCAGATACTTTTTTATTAATGAAATAATTTTGTGATCATTATTGAAAACTTGGAAAATACAAAGAGGTCAAAGAAGAAAGTAGCCAAGAGTTCCACCACCCAACAATTATTGTAATATTTATTATTGGGTTTTTGTACATTTTCTCTGGTCTTCATCTTTGCATATTTTATATAAATCTAATATTCTGTATATGTTTATAGCAGTCTTTTCATCTAAAGCCATAGCAATTATTTTTTATGAATTTTTTAAAACTACATGCAGTTTCATGCCTACATGGCATTCCACAGACTTAGAGAAGTCTCATCTCATTTTCTATTACTGCACAGAAAATTATTTCATTTTTTTCCCTCCAGTGTTACTAATCATAATGCCGTAAGTGTCTTCCTGTGTAACACCTTTTTCGGCTTTTAGGGTCATTTTTATGGGATAAGTTCCCAGAAGTGAAATGGTTGTGTCAAAGGGTAGGAGTTTTTTTAATGCCAAATAGTTTTTCCAAAGAATTGTCCACTTGCACTGCCAATAATGATGTGTGCAAATAGAGCTGTTTTATGTCAATTAATATGTATCCAAGGGAAATGGGTCATCAACCTCTTCCCTTTTGGACCTGTAAGGGTTGAAACTTCATTCGGAATAAACACTAATAAAAGCTTAAATAAATCTAATGGTTGTGGTTCAGCAGTCTCTCAGGGAAGCTTGCTGCAAATTTTAATTGCCTAAGGGGTTTTATTTCCTCTCATTTTCTTCTCCCCTCTGCTATTTTCCTCCCTCCCTCTAGGTTTAAAGCATGTTTTCCTTTCCACAGTTAAGCCTTAGTACTTCTTGTTCTGTCTTTGTTGATTAATGAGTATAATTGACCCTGTCGTCTCTATTATACCATCCACAGCAATTTGTTTTTATGTCGCAGTTATTTTCTGAGCTGTCACAAAACTGCCTTACAAAGAGAGCTCATTATCAGCCCAAAGGAGAAGAATTTGAAAGGATGAAGTGAGTAAAGGTCCCAAAGAGGAGGAGGAGGGGAAGGAGGAGTCTAAGTTGTTGGAATGTCAAGGAAATGAGCATGTTCTAGGGGCAGAATAATTAACTGTTGCTTAGGACGTACCCAGCAAGACTTGATTTTATCTAGAAATTATCAGATTAGAAATGGCTCTCCATAGACAAAGTGTGGAGGACTGGATGAATAGCTAGAAGGCTTGAATGTAGGTCCAAGAAAACATGGGACATGACATTTTATAAAATGGGTTGAAGCTCATTAGAAGTTAATTATAGAAAGCCCAGCTTAACGTCTCTGTGTCGGGAATAGCGGTGACTTCCAGGTTGGAAAGTTTTATCTGAACATATATAGACCATAAAGATTACCCACATGCCGGGCTGTATCAGAAAATGCTTTGCTATTTTTCTATATAGTTTCCTCTCATTTTCCTCCTCCCCACCCCAGTGATCTCTTCAAGTTTTCTTCACTCTTAAAATTAACTCAGGAAATAGCAGAGGTCCAGGAAGAGATAGTGGAACAGAAGGAGATCTTGACTTTAACAAAGTCTATCTTCCAAAACCCCAGACAGACGAGATCATTGTGTTACAGAGATGTAGCTTCATGGATGGAGTCATGAGGTCTTCTTAGAGGAATGCCTTGTTAGGTAACTGCTCATCATCCAGTCACATTACACTTTTCTTTTAGGAGCAGAGAAGGGAATTAACCACGGAGAGTTGAGGGAAAAAATCCTTAGTAGCAACAGTAAAATAATTAGTAATGGTGGCTCTGAATCGGAATGCAATGGCAGAGGGATCTAAAAGCTTTTCTCTTTATTTACTTTATTTTATTTATTTTTATTTCGTTTTTTGAGAGACAGAGTCTTGCTCTGTTGCCCAGGTTGGAGTGCAGTGGTGTGATGTCAGTTCACATCAACCTCTGCCTCCCGGGTTCAAGCAATTCTCCTGCCTCAGCCTCCTGAGTAGCTGGGATTACAGGCGCACACCACCACATCTGCCTAATTTTTGTATTTGTAGTAGAGACGAGGTTTCACGATGTTGATCAGGCTGGTCTCAAACTCCTGGCCTCGTGATCCACCTGCCTCAGCCTCCCAAAGTGCTGGGATTACGGGTGTGAGCCACCGCGCCCAGCTGCTTTTCTTTTTAATTTGTGAATTTGTGGATGAGGAAAGTGGGGCACAGAAGATTTAATCTACTTTTTCCTGGCTCCATCCCATTACTGGGAGAGCTGGGTCTTAAACCTGGATACCCTCTTCTCCAGTTCCAGGCCCTTTGTCCTATTAGGAAACTTCTCCGTTTGATGTGTCTTGAGGCTAATTCTTCTACAGTAATGCGAGGCTTTGATCCAGACAGCTCCAGAGAAACTACACTCAGAGTGGAAGGTTTTCTTAGTTGTAGAGAAACTCACATTACATTACCTTGTTTGTGAGATGTGTTCTGTTGTGTTTAAAAAGGTTCAGAAGAAAGTCAACTTTGGTCCTGTCCAGAAACCTCTGATGCAAGAACCATTTAGCTGGAGGGGAGCTTTGGAGAGAAGGGCAGGAGAAAGGGCAGGTGGAAGAACTCGAAGAGCTTCTTTGAAAGTGGCTGGAAAGAATTTTCAGTCTTTATAGAATGAAACAGCTATCTTAAGAAAGAAGGGGACCTGCCACTGATGGTCAACGGGATATGGGAAGGTCATGGGTCGGTCTCTGGTACCCGAGAAGCACAGCTGCTGCTGTTTTGGTTAACTGTCACCCTTCCCATCTTAAAAAAAAAAAATAGGGCTTGGCAGGGTGGCTCACGTCTGTAATTCAGCACTTTGGGATGCCAAGGCGGGTGGATCACAAGGTCAGGAGCTCGAGACCAGCCAGGCCAATATAGTGAAATCTTGTCTCTACGAAAAATATAAAAATTAGCCAGGCATGGTGGCAGGTGTCTGTAGTCCCAGCTACTCAGGAAGCTGAGGCAGGAGAATTGCTTGAACCTGGGAGGCAGAGGTTGCAGTGAGCCGATATCGTGCCACTGCACTCCAGCCTGGGCGACAGAGCAAGACTCTGTCTCAAAAAACAAAAACAGAAACAACAAAAAATAGGATATATTGAGCTTGCTTAATGAAAATAATTCCAATTTTTTTTGCTTGGGAATACAAGTAGAGGCAATCAGTATCTTCAGTATCTTGAGTTTCCTTAATAAAGAATTTCCGTAGTCCCTCTGCATCTGACTTAGTAACTAAAAGTCCTTATCATAAATGAATCTGCACTCATAGAATCTGTGACAATATGGGGAAAAGAAATTGGGGGATTTGGATTAAAAAACATAAGAAATCCCTTAGAGATTTACTTCATGTAGATTTCAGCCAACAGAGAACACCGTCAATGAAGATACTAGGGGCATTTACCCATGTCAGCGAATCACAGTTGGGCTGTGTTTTTCCTTTGCTTGTTTACAGGAAGGTTTTGACACCTCACTCCTTTTTCCTTGCCTGTCCATTGGTTTGTTTTTGTGCCGATGAGACTCCCATTAAGAGGCATTTTCCTCCCTGGGTTATGCCTTTCTTAGGTATAATTCAGGCCTCTCTTCTCTCACCTTTTCTCCTGTCTTGCCATGGTCATGATGGACATTTATGTAGTTGCATCTTCCACCCCTGCTACAAAATGAAGTGACTATAAAGAAAGAAAGAAAAAAGCCACTTTAGTAGGATCTGTATTTGGTTACATTCAATGTATATGAAGAGTTGTTGTTCAGATGCCTCTCTCAGTATATCCAAACTGCCCCCAGAGCTTTGCAGCAGAGGGCTGCGTCCCGCAATTCTCATGTTCCTTCAGTCTTAGCAAGTCAGGGCAACGTTTGCCTTCCTCCCCTTCCCTTACTTCTCTGGGAGCTTTCTCTCCAAACCCTCTACTCTTTATTGCTCTCTTCTCTGTCTTCTGTTACTTTTTAAAAAGTCGTCTCTGGTACTGTTCCCCCCGCCCCGCCCAGTAAAATCTCATGTTTTCCATAAAGACACTGAAAAGTAAGCTCCCATGAACTCAGGCTTCCCATAAGGGAGATGTCATTGTCTATGTCTGCACAGTGAGTGGTGAGAGTGTGTTTTATGTCATATCCCGGCTCAGCAATTCTCCCTTATGGCAAATTCCCCCACTGGTTGGCGCCGCCATAGGTAGTTCCACCCTTCATCACCTGGCTTCAGATACCATGTTATGGTAACGATGGTTTACCTGTGTTTAGTGCTTTAATTTATCCAAAATATTTCATCTGAGCTTATGGAATCTGAAGTGCTGTTAGGTATCAAAGGACATTATCTTTCGGGGGCCTAAACTTACACCCCTTCTGATTTTGCTCATCTGTCTGGAATTTTGCTTAATGTACGCTGTTTTCTCTGTGTTTTTTCATTCCCAGGTTACTCTGGCCAGGACTTCGACTGGGCAGATTATCACAAGCAGCATGGGGCGCAGGAAGCTCCTCCCTTCTGCTTCAGAAATGTAAGAAGCTTCTCTCTTACCTAATTTTTAAAAATCATAGATGTTGTTTACCATGAGTTTTATAACTTGCTTGGTATTGATGAAGCAAGGTTGGAGTATTACTGTGCACTGGAGAACTACAAAATGTCTGTAGTTTTTGGAAAGCTCTGCTTTCAGGTTGTGTGTTTGCTAGGGTGATGCGGTCTGTGCTAACAAATTGACTAATAAATGCACAGTTGCTGGAACGTGCTAAAAGGTGATGGCCAAGTCTCACTTATGGAAGAGACCAGGGTTTTCCTGATTAATAGGTGGTTCTCATCTTGGTGAGTAACCTAGCCGGCAGAAGGAAAAGAGATGAAGGAGGAAGGTATCACTAGTTCTAAATACTGCAGCCTGATAGCAGTGTATGTTACTGCTCTTTGCTTTCTACTGGTGGGAGCTCATTGCTTGGCTGTACCATGTCACAGGTGAGGCCAGTAAGTGGGTCCTGCCTGGGCTTGCTGCCCAGCTGTGATTCTGGACTCTGGAGCGAAGAGGACACATTTTGGTGGACAGCTGGCCATCTGTGCCCCTGTTAGAGGAGCACTTGCTGTGTAGCATCTTATCCATGAGCCCATTGATAGGAGAGTGTTTGCTCCTGAGGCCTAGTCTTAAAATGCAGTCTTACTTATTTTGATGGCTTTAATGCTTTCTTTGATGTCCAGTAAGGTGCTAGTGACTTCTGTGCTTTGCTAACTTTAAGCAACTACCTGGTTCATACAGAGCTTATTGGAACATAGTAATAGGATTTTTGTGACACATAAAGTAGCAATGAGTGTTTATGCACATGTGTATACTTACAGAGGTATAGGAGGTCATTTTATAAACTACAGTCATGCATTGCTTAATGATGGGGGTACGTTCTGAGAAGTGCATCATCAGTCCGCTTCATTGTTGTGTGAATGTGTACCTTGTACCTACACAGGCCTAGATGGTATAGCCTGTGCTACATACAGCTTTGACATTCATCCACAGCCTGGATGGTATAGCTTATACCACATAGCCTAGGTTACGTGGTACAACCATATAATCACATGGGACCACCATTGTATACGCAGTTCGTCATTGACCGAAACGTCACCATGCAGTACGTGACTGTAGTTTACAAAATCATCAATAATTCTTCAACCCTAGGAACTATGAGTAGAGATATCAATTATCTCTGTTTTAAGAATTAGGCTTAAATGTATAGTCTACTGTGTTCAATGCGCTTTTAGTTAGGAGAGTTAATTTATGTTAAGACAAAAAGAGGATAGTCTCCTCTTAATTGAGATCTGTAACGACAGTGCACAGCCCTGGCTGGTCAGAGACTTGTTTGCTGAGCATGTGCTCCTGGAGCTTGCCAGTTCATTGCTGCTGCACCTGTCTTTGCGCCCTAGACATAACGATATAAAAAATGAAGCGAGAAAGGGGTGGCTGAATAGGGAGTTCAAAAGTGAGCTCAAGTCAACATCAGAGTTTGGAGGGTTCAGTACGTTGATGATTGGGTCAGTTGGTACCTGTAAATACAGAAGCACGTCAGCAGCAAGGTTGGAAATCAAGGATCCTTCTGTGATTGAACGACCTTGAGAAGCAGCTCAAATCTCAGCTGAGTTCTCCCCTTATCTAGGCTGCTTGGAGTCTGCCTGGCACCTGCATGATCCAGGGAGCAGTAAAAAAATCTAGGCAGAATTTACACGTAGAATTTGTGGTTCCCATTTGTGGTTCCCAGTCCTGGCTCTCCCCAGGATTGCCACCGAATGATGTTGCCTTTGCACAAGAGCAGTTTCTCCGTATCTTGAAGAACCGAGTGGTGTGTGTTTAGGTGACAGGGCTGGCTGCATAACCATGCCCCCATGAGGACTGCAGCTGGTTAACTCTGAAAGCTTTGATGTCCTGTGCTGTCTTGACTTCTCATCGCATTGATGTCGCAGTCACAGAATCTGCTGGCTTGTCTGCTTTCATTTAGGGTCGCAGAAACATCTTATAGCACCCTAAAACCCTTTTGAGATTGTGCTTTGTACCTGACAAGGTATAAAGAGAAATATTCTTTCCCCGAATCATTAACTTTTGGAAGAAAATCCTTCTCTCTCTCTTTCATTCTATATTTAAAGAGTGATTTCTTCTATGGCAACATAGTCCCACTAAAGCTTCTTTTTATCAGTCCTGTGTTTCCATTCACAGCCAGGAGTTGTCCACATGGCTTTGAGTGGTAGAGTAAGTCACCACATTCCCAGGTGGCTTCTGAGCTTTCAGGATTTGGCCACCAAGTTGCTGTCTGTTTGGATGAATCTGCAGGCATGTTCCGTAGGAATGCCGTCGTTTCTGGCACTCCGTTTATGTAATAGAGAGGATTGTTGACGTATGCACTGCATTGGCGGTGCTTTGCTGAGTTTGTTAGCTTGCTATGAGTGCTCTTTAATGGAATGCACGTTACGACTTCATTTTTTAATCACACATCTCCTGTGTATTAGAGGAGAGCTAGTGTGGAATTGGATATGTGGAAGACATTTCCCCAGGGATGTTTAACGGAGGCTGTTATGAAAGGGATCGACACAGTAAAATGCTTGGTAAATAAACTCACAGGTAACAGTTTTGCTATTGATCCTTTATAAATTACCCTCAAGTGGTGGATTGAAATGAAAGTAGGTTATGTGGTTGTAGCTTTCCCTTGTTAAGAAGGATAAATGCATTTTAACTTACTTAGAGGTTTTTCAAGCGGCCGACGGAATTGTATTTTCAGAAGGAAGTTCAATCCATAATAGCTGTGGGTGAGACCAGGTAACTTACAGAAACAAATAACCCACCTAGAAGATCTTTGCTTCCTATTTCCAAAGAAACGTAAAGGCATGGAGCCAGTTGATTTCTTAACATGCATTGGATCACTTTTTTTCAGGTTACATAAAGATGTAATTGTATTTTTCAAATTAAGTTTTAGAAAAAGACATGTAAATGTGAATTACCTTGATTTCTTTCCATAAGTCAGAAAAAGAAGTAGTCTCTGTTCCTTATAGGAACCTGTTTATCTCAGTATCCATAAGTGTATAGATCTATAGTGTTGTAACATGGCTGATGATAATTTATAGTAGTTGGCAATTTGGGAAAATTTTATGTTTATTTTACAATAATATTTTCAGTATTGGCTGAGTAAGCTCATACTGAACTTGACCCTTCTGCATGTAGAGCAGCTCTAAGGTCTGGACACAGGACCAAAAACGACTATTTAAGGGTAGTGGAACGTGAACAAAAGCAGGCAAGAAAACAGGAGACTGGAAGAAGGGAACAGCATGGGGGAATTGTCCCATTTTTTTCAGACTTTTAGCCTGAGGGCAGCCACAGTTCTCAACATGTGGGATAACTTAGAGAGTGATGTAAAATTCATGGTCTCTCTGGCCTGATGAACCACATTACAAAATTTGGGCAACCACAGATCCTGGAAAGTGAGGGGAGACTCAGACAGTGGAAAACCAGGATTGGGAACCCCAGATTCTATGTGTAAATTCTGTCTAGGTTTTTGTGGTGATCCCTGAATCATGTAGGTGCCAGGAAGACTCCAAGCAGCCTAGGAGAGGTGAACTCAATTGAGATTTGTGCTGCTTCTCAAGAGACAGAGTCTGTAGTTTCAGTCCAACCAAGGTGATAGCTTGCTAAAATAGAAAAGTCGACATTCTTGATAGGAAATAACATAATCCAGACTAGCCACAACATAACGTTTAAAATATCCACTCTTTAATTCCCACATTGCTCAAGACAAATGGGAAAATCAGCCTCATTCCCAATAGAAAAGAAGAAATGGGAAAATCAGCCTCATTATCAGAGAAAAGATAATCAACATAGACTAAGCCAAGCATAGACTAAACCCATCATGACCCAGATGTTGGAATTAGCAGACAAGTATTTTCAAGCCCCTATTATAACTAAGTGTGATGTAAAGCAGTGGTCCTTAAAGGGTGGGCCTGAGACCAGCAGCCTCAGTATCACCTGGGCACTTTTCAGAAATACACATTCTCTGGCTCCACCTCCAATCGACTGAATCAAAACTTTGGGGAGAAGCCCAGGAATTTATATTTTTAAAAGATTTTCAAGAGGATTCTGATCCTACAATTTAAGAACTGTAGATATAAAGGAAAATATTCTCTAATGAATGAAAATATAGGAAGTCCCAGAGAAGAAGTAGAAACTGTAAAAAAGAGAGATTCTAGAACCCAAAAATACAATATTTGAAATAAACAAATTTATTGGATTAGCTTAAGCGGGAAGATAGAGGAAAGAGTCCATGACCTTGAAGATAGAAATTATTTTGTCTGTAAAACAGAAGAAGATGGACAGGGAAATGAAGGACAAATGGAATCTCAGGATCTGAGGGACAATTATCATGTAGAATTGAAGACCCAGAAGAGGTGGCTGAATAAGAATTTAAAAAGACATTTCACCAAAGAAGATGTATGGATGACAGAAAAACACGGGAAAGCATGCTCAGCATCAGTAGTCAGCAGGGCAAATGCAAGCTAACACCACCATGAGACACCGCTAGATACCTATTACAATGGCTGGATTTGGAAAAACTGGCAATACCAGGTGCTGATGAGGATGTGTAGCAACTAAAACTCTCATACACTGGTCATAGGAATGCAAAATGCTGTAGTAACTTTGGCAAACATTTTGGCAGCTTCTTAGAAAGTTAAACATTCATTTACTATATAGTCCAGCAGCCCCATCTCTAGAGAAAGGCAAACTTAATGGCATGGGTTGAATTGTGCCTCCCCCAGATTCATATGTTCAAATCGTAACCCTCAATACCTCAGCATGTGAGTAGCTTTGGAGATACAGTTTTTAAAGAAGTGATTAAAATAAAATGAGGTCCTATGGGTGGACCCTCATCCAGTGTGACTGATGTCCTCATAAGAAAAGAGGGAGCCAGGCTCAGTGGTTCACACCTGTAATCCCAGCACTTTGGGAGGCCGCGGTGGGCAGATCACTTGATATCAGGAGTTCAAGATCAGCCTGGCCAACATGGTGAAATCCCAGCTCTACTAAAAATACAAAAAAAATTAGTTGGGCGTGGTAGGGCATTCCTATAGTCCCATCTACTCAGGATGCTGAGGCAGGATAATGGCTTGAACCCAGGAGGCAGAGGTTGCAGTCAGCCAAGATCATGCCACTGTACTCAAGCCTGGGTGACAAAATGAGACCCTGTCTAAAAAAAAAAAAAAAGAAGATGAAGAAGATGGGGATTGAATCCCAGGCAGATCTTAATGGCTTGGCTAGTTTCTCCACCTATAAAAATCAGGACACTCTTACTGCTGTTTGTGTTAGGTAATTAACAGCCATAAAGCATGCTGAAAGTAGAAACTGCTCAATACACACAGAGGCATGACCACATGAGGACACAGGGAGAAGACAACATCTGCAAGTCAAGGAGAGAGGCCTCCAAAGAAGCCAGCCCTGCTGACACCCTGATCTCTGACTTCCAGCCTCCAGGACCATGAGAAAATAAATTTTTGTTGCTTAAACTTCACAGTCTGTGGTATTTTGCCACAGCAGCCTGAGCAGATTAATATACTTAATGTTTAGATGAAAAGTTGTACCAGAATGTTTACAGCAGGTTTAATCACAATCACTGAAAACAACTCAAATGTCCTTTAACTGGTAAGTGGATATAGATAAGCTACAGTGCATCTGTACAAACTACTCAGCAAGAAAGCAGGACAAACTTCCATTTCATGTAATAGCATGGATGAATCTCAGTGTATTATGCTAAGTGAAAGAAGCCAGACTCAAAAGGCTACAAGATAGTGTGAGTCCATTTACATGACTTACAGAATAAAACGGGGATTCTGATCCTAAAGTTTAAGAACTGTAGATATAAAGGAAAATTTTCTCATAATGAGAATATAAAGAAATATAAAGGAAATTATAAGAACAGAAAACAGATTGGTGTTTGCCAGGAATTGAGTGCTTTGGAGGGACTGATTACCAAAGGACCCCTGTGCAAGGGTATTTTGGGGGTGAAGGAATGGTTCTGTGTGTTGATTGTGGTTATAGCTGCATAATGAAATGCGCTGGTCTCACAGCCCTACACTCAGAGAACAGTATACCCAAAAGACTGAATTTTACTCTATGTAAAAATGTTTAAAGTGATCTTAAAAAGATAATAATAAACAAAAAGCAATAAGTAATAGCGATAAACAAAATTAGCAATGAACAAAAAGAACAAAGGAAAATAAATATAATTTCAAGTAAAACCACAAGAATTCATCATCAAAAAGACCTACACTATTACGAAAAAAATCTTTTTTTTTTCTTTTCCGTTTGAAACGGGGTCTCACTCTGTTGCCCAGGCTGGAGTGCAGTGGCGAGATCTCAGCTCACTGCAACCTCTGCCTCCCGGGTTCAAGTGAGTCTCCTGCCTCACCCTCCCAAGTAGCTGGGATTACAGGCGTGTGCCACCACGCTCAGCTAATTATTGTATTTTAGTAGAGTTGGAGTTTCATCATGTTAGCCAGACTGGTCTTGAACTCCTGACCTCAAGTGATCCACCTGCCTCAGCCTCCTAAAGTGCTGGGATTACAGGTGTGAGCCACCGCACCCAGCCTTTTACTATGAAAATTTCTAAAGGATATTCTTCCCATTTCCTTTAAAGGAAAATGATGCCGGATGGAAACTCCGTGTACCCACTTGAACTGTTATCAATGGGTATAGGAAGGTGGAGGAAATGGTGTGTACTTCAGTGATCCCATAGAAGGAAGGGTGCATATGGAACTGGAAAGAGAATGAACTCATACTCTCACTCGTTTAACAAATATTATTAGGCACCTACTATGTGCTAGGCATCGTTCTAATTTCTGGGAAACAAAAATGAAGACCACCTGGTTCTTTCTTCATGAATGGTGGGAAGGACAAACACGTACGTGAGCCTGTCTTGTTGATGTGAGATGCATGTGCGTGCATTTCTTTCTCTTTCTTCATCTGCCCAGCTTTGTCCTGCTGCGTCAGCACTGGTTCAGTGTTGGTCCCATTTCTCTTGCAGACATCGTTCAGTCGAGGTTTCACAAAGAACATGAAACTTGAAGCTGTGAACCCCAGGAATCCAGGAGAACTGTGTGTGGCCTCCGTTGTGAGTGTGAAGGGGCGGCTGATGTGGCTTCACCTGGAAGGTACGTACTCGCTGGGGGTAGCAGTCGCTGGGGGGATTGTAGAGTTTGTCGAAATGGCAACGTGTGGAGGAATGCAGCCCTTCTCAGAAGGCGCCTTAGTTCTCTTTCATTTAAACAGATCTTAAATTATTCCGGGTTCTTAAATAAGTGAAACTAATCAAATATGAATTTATTCAGAGGCTCTCATCTTAACTAATAATTTCATGCAATGAGATGCTGGCAAGATAATTATGTTTGGAACACAGTGGTCTTTTTACATCTATGATTAGAAAAGCAAATGTCACAATTAAATTAATGTGAGTCACTAAAACCGGGATTCCAGGTCTTGGTTATTATGAGGACAAAATTGTACATTTGTATTTTAATGTAGTAATATCCTTTAATTTGATGTAGATGTTCAGTTCCTCCTCAAAATAGTACCTGGAGGATGACTTTCTCCCCAAATGTCTAATAAACAGAATTTAGGCTTCTTTGTTCAGTGATGTTGAAACTACCCTTTATAGCTATAGCATATTTACAGGTGTAAGAAAATTCACAGAATGCTGTATTTTGTGAACAGAATCCTGATCAGACTTTATATTTAAGTAGAAAACCATATTTTGCAGGTAGTGTGTTTTCAGTGAGAAATAATTACAATGGATTTGATCTCTAAGGCTTTCCCATCTTTCTGTGATTTATAATTCTTTGGATTTTTTTTTCATAGGATTTCATAATACTTAGTAGTTATTTCAAGTATATATGCAAAAATGAATAGACATGAATAGTAAAACAAAGTTAGCTCTCCTAGTTCATAGTTTAAATCTTACGACTTACTCAGTATCACGCTTGGAATAAAAAGTTTAGAAGGAAAATCGTAGAATTGATACTAAGATCTCCATTTTTATTTCCTCACTATGAATCTATAAAATGCCTGCCAAGGTCTTAGGCCTACAATCTCATACATATTGTAGTGCAAGGAATTGGAAATGTGGAAAGCAGTTGTTGTGGCTGACATCACTGTGTTGCCAATTCCCAGAAAATTGTTTAAAATGTTACTGAAGTTTAAGGTTCCAAAATCAATGTGAAGTACATGGAGATTCCCAAGAAGTTGATTGCTTAGTGGGTTTTCGAGTAGAACGACCTCTGTCTGGAGTCAACGAAAGTGTAGACACGGGCAACGTGGTAACACGTCTGTAGCTTACAAGAATAGAACATGGCTTTATTTTCACAGCTCCACCTAGAGTTGGGTGAACCGCTCTTGGAGAAGCAAGATTCCTTCTGTACTTTATAATGACTAAATTTAACTTGCTATGTAACACTATGCTGAGCCATCTTCATGAGATCGGACTCTTGTTTGCATTATTAATTTGAAAACAAAAATGGTCAAGTTAAAAGCCCATGTTTTATCCTTATTACTTAGCACATTATGGTTAAAATTCTTTGGCAGTCATTATTTATTGAGCAGTTTCTACTTTCCGCATGCTTTATGACTGTTAATTACCTAACACAAACAGCAGTAAGAGTGCCCTGATTTTTATAGGTGGAGAAGCTAGCTAAGCCATTAAGATCTGCCTGAGGTTCAATTCCATTGCTCTTGACATTTTCTCTGTTGCTTCATTCACCAGACCCTACGGCTTCCCACATCTTAAAAAAGAGTGATGGACAACATTTAGTGTATCTGTAACATTTGGGGCAGTGTTTTCTTCTTTGGCCTGTTCTCTTTGAATACAGATTTTTTTATTTTCTCGCAAAGAAATAGAAGTCAGCTACTGTCAGATCTTTTCCTTATTCCCCGGCGTGTTTTCACTGGGTAGTAATGGAAACTAGTTAGTGTTAGGAAACACATCAGAAAATACACGTTGACCGTTTTTCCAGACCTGATTCATTGCTCTAAAAAGTGTTTGTAGCCAGGTGCGGTGGCTCACGCCTGTAATCCCAGCACTTTGGGAGGCCGAGGCGGGTGGACCATGAGGTTGGGAGATCGAGACCATCCTGGCTAACACGGTGAAACCCCGTCTTTACTAAAAATACAAAAAAAAATTAGCCGGGCGTGGTGGCGAGCGCCTGTAGTCCCAGCTACTCGGGAGGCTGAGGCAGCAGAATGGTGCGAACCCGGGAGGTGGAGCTTGCAGTGAGCCGAGATTGTGCCGCTGCACCCCAGCCTGGGCGACAGAGCCAGACTCTGTCTCAAAAAAAAAAAAAGGGTTTGTAAACAGTCTGTTGAGTATTATCTGTTGCATAGGATATTACCTGTAGTTATTACTCAAAATCATGCATCTTTTTCATCACTTACAAACGATATGGCATACAAATAAAGTAAAATTCCAGTCAGTTTCCTGGGTCTTGCTTGAATTGTTTTGGTTTTGGTTTTGATTTTGGCTCTTACTGAGCACCGACCTTTCAAAGTGACAGCTTAATGGCACTTAGCTCTCATTATTTCAGTTTTATCTATCTGATGTTTCCTTTCCTCCATGTTGGGGATAAAATGATGGAGATTCATCATGGTCACTTTGTGGCTGTTAAATTTTTTTGTCTAATGATGATTATTCTGATTATAGGCCATTTATTTGGCACTTTAAATTTATAAAGTACTTTGTAGCAATTTTATTCGTTATTTTCATGCATTAAATTGATTTGAAGTCTTTTCAACACTAGACTGATTGACCACTTTTAGGTAATTAAAATGATTCTTTCTAGTTAATCTCTGACTTCCCTTGAAGTTGATTCATTCTTTGCATGTCTCTAAAGGGGCTGTTGTTGAAGAGGGAGCAATGAATAAAATATATGAGATTAATGTAATATCATTTTAAGTGCATATTTGAAAAGAATCTTAAGCTCTCAGAAACCACGGGTAGTTAGCAAGGATGATTGAGGATGATGGGGCCAGTGTTCCAGAAAGGAGGCCGTGCCTTCTCCTAGGTCAGTGTTCTGCTGCAGGTCATCATGCCTGTAACTGTGAATATTGTTCATATAATACAAGTTACTTTCAGTCTTAGGTCTGCAGTATTGTGGCCACACACACTGGCTCCCACACTCACAGCTCTGCTTTTCTACAAACTAAGTGACTTTCTATTCATTTCCGGTCCTTTTTTTTATGGGACAAATACATTGGTCCAGCAGTTCTGTGTGCTGTCCTAGCTCTTTAGCCCAGAAGTAGATTCGCATGCCTGCGTTGTCTTCCTTAGCGTCGTTTTTGGAGTCTTCTTTCTCAGAATTATTTTTCCTGGACACCTGGCTGAATATATGTACATGCACCACTTACATTGCACTTCAAATGAGACCTGGTAGATTTCTAGCTCATGTTTAGCAAGTAATGCAACAGATTGACAAGAACTTTTGGGTGGTTTCATTGAGATATTTTATTGAAAAAAAATTTTCATCTTTAAAAATGGTTTTAAAATATATGTAACATCAAATTAACTACTTCAGTCATTGTAAATTATACAGTTCAGTGGCCTAAAGTTTATTTGCCCTGTTATATACCCATCACCACCATCCATCTCTGGAACATTTTTCATCTTGCAAAACTGAAACTCTCTCCCCATTAAAGTCTGCCTTCCCTCCTTAGCCCCTGACCAGCACCATCCTCCTTCCAGTCTCTATGCAGTTGATGACTTCAGGTACCTCACATGAGTCAAATCATGCTGGATTTGTCTGAAAATGGCCTTTTACAAGATTTATTATCAATCGTAATGCTTTATGTTTATCTACTTTCATCATAATTTGCCATACTGTCTTTTTGGTCCTCATAGACCTGGCCACCTATTGGCAAGAATATTAAGATGTAGGTGGCTTGTGGTTAATGGAGGACTGAAGAGTTAGTTGATAGAGGGGCTGGTTCTGCTTCCTTGGCTTCGTTGGAAGTGTCCCCAGGGACACATTAAAAGGACTAGGGACACAGAGGAGGAAGAACAGGTTTGGAAGGAGACAGTTTTGAAGAGCGACAGTTGCATTTTAAGATACGGATGGAGATCCCAGCTGAGGAGGCATAGGAAGTGGCAGGAATTTTGACACTGAGGCCCTCATCAGAGGCTACAAGATGTGTGGGGATAGTGACCACAAACTTTGCTTAAATGAGGAGACTTTTAGAAGCAAACGGGGCACTAGCCAGCTGGGGCACTGGCGAGGAGGGACAGCAGGCTAGCTCGGTAGTCACATGAGTCACTGTATTAGTCTGTTTTCATGCTGCTGATAAAGACATACTCAAGACTGGTGAGAAAAATAGATTTAATGGAGTCACAGTTCCACATGGCTGGACAGGCCTCACAATGATGGCAGAAGCTGAAAATCACGCCTTACATGGCGGCGGCAGGAGAGAATGAGGCCAAGTAAAAAGGGAAACCCCTTCTAAAACCATCAGATCTTGTGAGACTTATTCACTACCACAAGATCAGCATGGGCAAGCTGCCCCCATGATTCAGTGATCTCCCAGCAGGCCCCTCCGACACCACATGGGAATTTGGGGAGCTGTAATTCAAGGTGAGATTTGGGTGGGGACACACCAAACCATATCAGTCACCATGATCTGGGGTCTGCGATGGGAGCGGGGTCAGCTGCAGTCATGGCGGTTTGGAGCCAGGCAGTGCCAGGTGTGAACGCAGGCCCCTGGTGACCCTGTGGCCTTAAGCACATTACTTAAGCCCTGGTTTCCCCATTTCTAAAATGGCAATCATGGTATTACTTATGGCAGGGGCTTAGTTTGCATTAAAGCAGTTAGCAGAGTTTCCAGGAAGAATTTACCAGTAGAGAGGACGAAGAGGAAATTCTCAGGAGCCAGAGAGAGACTGTGATGGACCTGGTTCCCTGGAATGTGCTCAAGTCTTAGGCACTGAGCTGCTGCTGGTGGCTGGGATGATCAGACAATCCCACGGGGGTCTATACCGCCCAGCGAGTTTGTCTGCTGTGTTTGATGCGTGGAGGGGGGCATCCCTAGTAGACCCTCAAGCCAAACAGAGCAGGGAGGGAGGAGGGAAGCAGGTCAGGCCCTTTGTATGTCTATGAAGTTGAGTCAGACATCGGCC